AGTATTACACAGTATTACGGGGTATTACACAGTATTACTCTGTATTACACGGTATTACGCGGGTATTACACGGTATTACTGGCATCGTGTACAGGGTATTACGCAAGGTAAAACCCCCTCGGAGTTTGCACTGTCGTCGGGTGAAACGTGACCACCACTACGAGGTCGTCGAAACGGAGACCAACACACACACGAGCGCGCGTGCAGACCAGACTAAAGTCAATGGCAAGAAAACATTTTCATGGCGACATGACGGGGATGGGAATGGGGGTGAAATTCGATTATCGTTTTCTTTTTCAACGACGCGTCAAGGCGAGAGCATTGTACTACCAGAAGAGACGCAGAGGGTGAACGCCACGGCCTCTGAGGGTGAGCGAGAGAGAGAGAGAAAGGGGGGGGGGAGCATATAGGGGAGGTCGAGGGAGATAGAGAAAGGTGGGGGAGGGGAGGGGGGCGTTTGTGCACTTGTTGTTTGGTACGCTTTATTATGCGTAACACATTTATTTGTGTGTGGAGTGCGGTATCCGACTGCGAGGTTGGGGAGAGATGGAGCGGAGTGGGGAGGGGAGAGGGGGTGTTGGCGCCGCACCATCTGTGCGCTCGCGATCAACTGATTTAATTGCGCGAACAATGCCGGCGGACACAATTATTTCGCAGTTTGGTTTCATAACTCGATTCGGCATGCAGTGTATATGAACTCTGCGCGTGTATGCGTGCGCATGTGCGTGTCTGTATGTTCGTCACATTTCCAGATGGTGGTCTCCGCCCACGCGATCTGTCGCCGGACCGGAGGGCTGAGTATTCTTTTACCGCCCTCAAACTGTCAAGGAAAAGCCGGTTGATTGCATTGAACGTGGATGACTCCATACTTTCGGTTTAACAAACTAGATTTTGATTGCCGCGTATAAGTAGAGAGTAGGATGGAGATAAATGAGCAAGGTGCTGACCAGGACTGTGCTGTGCCACTCGCTACAAACGCAAGAACGTCCAGCAAACAAGTTAAGAAAGTCGTTCGAACCTTTGAATCAAATTGAGGGAGCCTCTGAAAAAGGTAAACCCTAGTCACAAACTAGAAGCAACCTTTGCAATGTTCTTCTTAGAGCCACTTCGGCTGGGGCTAGGGAGCTACACCAAGGGCACTGCAACCGCTTAGCTACTGGACAGCCCCAAAGGCGAAGGCGACCCGCGCGTTTCCCACTTTTTTCTGCTGGTTGCCTGTTCATTTTACAATAATATCAAGCGGTCAGAGGGTCGTGCGATGTATTTTCCAGCGTGAGGAGTGTGCTCGGCGGCGTTTGCCGCAGTTTAGTTGGCCTCCATGGCTCGACTCGGCGTCTTAACGCCGCTGTTCATTTCACCGATTATTGCTAATGAAAGGGAGTTCTCGGCTCGATAATGGCTCGCCAATGTTCTTAGCATGTCGGCGCGGCGTAGCGTGGCTCAACGTGGCGCAGCGTGGCGCAGCCATATAGCCCCGCTTATCGAGCATCTCACGCAAACCATAAACCAATTACTAACAACACAAAATTACCAGCTTCGACCCCCCACAGCCCCCTGTACCAAAGTGACGGTGCGGCCGGAG